ACACCGACTGACACTTTTTTACTTGTTTTTCTATTATCGTATACAGGCGTAGATTAAACCAGTGAGCGGAGCAGCATAGTGGGAAGGGCCGACCATATGATACTCTACATAAATACCGCGAAAAAAATCTATATTCCAAAAAACAAAAACTCCAATTAAAACCAGCATATTTTTGTCATCTCAACCTCACCAAAAAGGACGACAACCATAACGGGAACTTCAGAATTTTAAAGCGATCAGCGCGACATTCCCGCCCTCTGGTGGGGTATTAGTAATATCAAACAATATTAACACTGACATCTTTAAATATGAACAATACACACAGCCATATAATGGGTCTGAATTTAAAGGTCAACCACTCCTCTTGGATAAAACCCCGTCCAACATGCAAAATTTCGTGACGATTCATAACTGCGTCCTGTATCGTGTTTACAAATTATAATGGACAGACGGACGGACGGACACACATGTTTAGATCTATTCAGCTAGACGAGATATGACGATCGGTATACTTAAAGGTGGGTCTGGGACCAACATTTCGAGGCGTTACACACTCTTAGGGCTGCATGAAGCTATAATACAACATAGCTGTGTAGGGTATAAAAATCGAACTTTATTATAGAACCTGTCAAAAATTTGGTTTGAAACTCCACGCCTGCTAGGTCGTAAAAAATATACGTTAATTATTTTTAGTCCTGGGAAAATATTGTTTTAAAATCCATGACTGTATTATGTTTTAAAAATATTTCTCAAAAATACACGCTTGTTATAGGGCCTTTCAAATTCAGGGCTGTTTAGGGCTGGTATATTAATTTTGTGGCTTTACAAATGTCGTACGTTGATAACTTGTATTTATTCCGCCCTGATGCGAAACTTTCATATGCGAATTAAATTCAAATTTGTCAAAATTCGACATTAGTCTTCATTCTAGGAACAGTCCTTTTCAAAGCAGATTTTTTATTATCGATAAAGATAAACCAATTTTGTAACCCAGAAAAGGGTATAAAAGAGCGCAGAAAACACAAGAAGTCACACATTCCGCAATCTCCATTCAAACACGATACATTGTATCCATCTGATAAATTTGCGCAGAGTAGTAATAAAGTCGGTATTTAAAAAATAACCAAATTCTCGTTTCTTTATTTATGAATTGCTACAAATTACGAAGTAAGGCCGTTTTGCAGGCCAACATAGCCAACGTTCCATTGACGCCCTACGTGGAGCCTGTCTGTTATATCTTTTCAGGTCTCTTATATCTTTTCAAATCCACTTCTGTGTGGGTCCTACAAAAGTATTCTTTAAAAATCCAACCCTGTGGTAGGTCTTTAAAAAAAATATTCTTCAAAAATAATTGGTGTTTTCCTGTTTAGGTCCAAAAAATATTATTTAAATTTTCGCTGTTAGTTGAGTCACTGGAATATTTTTTTGAGGTCCTTGAACAAATAGTTTAGTTCCTTAAAAAATGTTTCAGTTCGACTAAAATATTCATTAAAAATCCACGCATATTTTAGTTCCTGGAAAAATCAATGATAGTAAGGGAATTAGCAAATATACCTTAAAAAATTCACGTTTTAGGTCCCTGATAAAATAAATTAAAAAGTCCACGCCTGTTTAAGGTTCTTGGAAAAAAGTATTGTTTTTAAATCCACTCCTGTTTTAGATCCTTGGAAAGATGTATTTTAAAAATCAACGCCTGATTTAGGTCCTTGGAAAAAATATGCTTTAATCCACACCAGTTTTAAATCCACGGAACAAAATTTTTTAAAACCTCGCCCGTTTTTAAATCCCGCGAAAAATATTTTTGTTTAAAATTCACCAGTTTTTCCTTGTCCTTGGAATTTTTGTAACGTTCACACCTGTTTTCGCCCGCTTAGGGTTTTAAAAATATTTTTCAACGACCCAACACTTTAAGGATTTTAATTTTTAAGGATATGTTAGCTCCTATATTTTTGGGATTACTTTCATTAATTTTTTACCGACGGTAAAAGACGTTATTTCTTCTAAAAAATGTATATTTCTAAACACAACCGAAATCTTGCATCTCTTTCTGTTTAACCAGGACTGGCGTTGACTTTTGTAACCACCAATCGACATTGGATATTTGTTCGTATTATCGCCCAGTTATGGCGGTTTTCTCGTTCAAACATTGTGCGTGTGTATGTTCGCCTTGTCCGGCTTTTAGAGGAGGTGTAGATCAAAGCCGGTTTTTGTTAAGGTGGTAGACCAAAAATGTTGATTTTGGCTTTTATGAAAAAAAAAACATTCCAAACATAAAAAATTGAAAAGAAAAAAAAAAAAAAAAAACACAACAAAGAAGGGGAATGAGAGTTCAGTTATTAAAAGCCTGTTATGGAAGTTAAAGCCTTGTATTTGGTTTGCAGGAAAATAGGAAAAAAATATAGATTTTTTCTTAAAGTGCAGTTGTAGTAGAATGAAGGACGAATATGAATTTAACATAAATCAGAAAAATAAATATTTACTTCGTTGTGGCTGAAAATAATAACACAAAACTTTCAAATGCAAAAAAAAGTCCCAGCATTGCTCTTAAGAATTCCCTAGTGACTGGTACCCGTTGTAATAATGATATCCATCCATCGTTTAACAAATTTTATGCATTTCATTTTTTATTTATACTCAGCTTGTGTGCCAGGAATCGGAAATATGTTTAGCCTTGTTATAAATACTCAACCACTTTCCTAAACACTTAACACATCATTTCCATTGAACGATAAGGACATAATTCATAAATCTCAACCCCCCCGCCGAACAGGACTAGAAATACATATTTGAAGCAAAACAACAAGCAAAGTAACGATTTTCAAACAATTCGAAGTTATCTTTCGGCACGTGTCACTGCGTTATGCCAGTCAATGATTGTAGACTTCGTTTAATTTCGACGATAAGCGTTATTATTTGTACCCGAACGGACTATTAAATAATGGCCATTGTTGCTATTAAACGCTTATGAGAAATTATTATTATTAAATCATTTAATGCTTATCAGAAGCTTTTAATCGGTCAATTTTAATTTCATTTATCAAATAAAAAATATTTTTTTGAAAAAATATTCGTTAAAAATCCACGCCTGTTTTAGGTCTTTGAATAAATATTCTTTAAAAATCCTCGCCGCTTTTGAGTCCTTGGAAAAAATATTCTTTAAAAATCCACGCCTGTTTTAGGTCTTTAAATAAATATTCTTTAAAAATCCTCGCCGCTTTTGAGTCCTTGGAAAAAATATTCGTTAAAAATCCACGCCTGTTTTAGGTCTTTAAATAAATATTCTTTAAAAATCCACGCCTCTTTTAGGTCCTTGGAAAAAATATTCTTTTAAAATCCTCGCCGCTTTTGAGTCCTTGGAAAAAATATTCTTTAAAAATCCACGCCTCTTTTAGGTCATTGGAAAAATATTCTTTAAAAATCCACGCCTGTTTAAGATTTTTGAAAAAATATTCTTTAAATATACACGCCTTTTTAGGTTTTTGAGGAGAATATGCTTAAAAAATACATGCCTGTAAGGTTCTGTAAACAATTATCTTGAAATCTAGGCCTGTGTTAGGTCCTGAAAAAATATTCATCTTATAAATTTTGGCTGTTGTTTTTTTTTAATTGCTTACTTACTCATATTTTTGTTGTTCTGTCATTTATACAAATAAATCTGCCTATCATATTACAAAAACCTGTCCATAAGAAAATTAAAAATACAAAAACTCAAAATATTTGCCTTATTAACATAATCATATGAAAGCAGGGCAGCATATCTTTTCGGTTAAATATTAACCTACATCACTTTGAAAGAAGAGAAGTTGTCTTTTTTCGTTTATGAATGAATATAACAAATTTGAAAATAAAAACCTGTTTTCCAAAATTTGATTCAAATTCTCCAAATTTTGATTTTGCTAGAGATGGATTATTCGTTTTGAATTGCCTGTCGCATAATGTTGGGCTAAGCAAATCATGTGTAAATAACTAAATAAAAATGATAAAAAATAAAAAAAAAATAACCAAAATAATGCCATGACAGGTGAAATGTGACACCGACCTTTTAATGTATGCAAAATCATATCGGACAAGTTAATTCTAAATGACATACAAAAAATGTGTGTTTTGAAATATATTTAAAAGCTCTAGGTCTTGGACATTGCTTTATATACAAAGTTGAATATATTTTTCACGAAAATTCGAAATGATTTTTGAGTATTTATACCCATTAAATATTGATGACATTAGTATAAATACTACCATTCTAACCTGTTTGATAGGTTTCTTGGACCTCTCTTTCTAGATCATGAAGCTCTGCACTGAAATATTGATAGGCTTCTCAATGATTCACTGAAGTTATGAGCGGATATCCCACTACAGTTCTTCTACTTATACTGACGCTAGGTATAAGTAAATCAAATTTCGAAAAAAAAAAACGATTAATCGATTTTATGTATTGAAAAGGCTAAAAGTCAAATCTAGTTTTATCATCATAAATGATTAATTTATTATCATATAGCCCAAATTGTCCAAAAATTACACTTTTCAGAACTTTTTTTTAACTATTGAGAAAAATTCATATAAAAATCTAATTTCATGTCGATTTTTCAAGAGAAAAAAATTAAAAAGACTAAAAATCGAATTTTTGGTCAGAGGCAAAAATCGAACAGACGACTGGTACCTCACAAATCGATCTATCACTATATAAGTGTACGTCAAGATTTCTTTTGTTGCGTCTGTTAGGCGTTGAATTCCTGAAAGATAGGTGTTAAACAGTATAAACTGAAGTTATTCTAGGACTCCACGTTCTAAATCGGGATCCATACATACAATTAATATTCTTCATATTAATAAGTTAAACGCTTTTAACGCATTCTACAACCTCTATTTTACTCCTTTACTGATGTGTCAGGAAAAAATCTTACATCAAGCTATAGACTTTCCAATCTGTGGGAACGAACATCCGGCAGTTTGAAGACTCAATTGAGGTTCCAGCTTCATATGGCAATTTCAGACTTACAATAAATATACAGGGTGAGATGAAAAAACTGCAACCAACTTAAGACTCCTGTAATTTCTAAGCCACGCCACCAACAGCTGTTAAAATTATTCCAGTGACAGCACATTATATTGTTTACAAGCGTACAAAAGCATTTTGTTGAGAATTTTCCAGAAATGGAAAACAACAAGTGGCTATCGTTAGAGCACTCCAGCATTTAAATGTGAATAAATCTTTTGTGTCTCGTACCATCGCTCGTTACCTTGAAACTGGTGGCGTACCCCGACGTCAAGGAAGTGGACGGAAGAACAGCAACATCAGCAGAAATGGTTCGAAAAGTAAAGAAGTGGCCGAGAAATGGCTCGTGAGCTGAACATATCGCAATATTGCATTCGGCAAATATTGAAAAATGAGCTCGGGGTAAAGCCATTGTAATTCCAAAAAGCGCAAGAACTTACACCGCAACAGAAAGAAAATAGAGCTAAAGCCGAAAGTGGTGTACTGCCGAATTTGGTTTTCTCCGATGAGAAAACATTCGTTGTCTAGCAGTTTGTAAACAAACAATATGATCATGTTTACTTGCCAAAGTGATCAGCACCTTCGGTTGACCACCAGAACTCAAGCGCCAGCATTGGTGATGGTGTGGGCCGCCATAACAGCTGATGGTCGCTCTCCACTCGTATTAATCGACCATGGCATCTGAATAAATGCCGAATATTATCGCGAAAATATTCTGGAGGGTGTATGGCTTTAATACACCCTCAAGAATATTTTCGCCGCAGACCTTTGACATTCCAACAGGACTCAGCACCATCGCACTCGCCACCCAAGAATGGTTACAAAATGAGGTTCCTCGCTTAATTTCCAGTGCACAATGGTCACCAAAATCTCCGGATACCAATCCGCCGTTGGACTATTGTGTCTGGAGTATTTTGGAAAGCAAGGTTGGCACTAAAAAATACAAAAGTGTCGATCACCTTAAGCAGGCGCTTCGCCGGCAATGGGCCGAAATACCGCAGAGCAACATTCGGGCAGCGAAGGTTACTAATTCGAATAAATCTAAATTTATTCTAAAATTTTTCATTCAATAAAATTTAAAAAAAAAGGTTAAAATGATGGTGTTTGATTTTGTTGCAGTTTTTTTATCTCACCCTGTATATCGGAGGTTGCATCTTTGCTCTGTCATTCTCGGGATGCTTGATGCAAGTAATTCATCGCGCTAATTTGCTAATACAAGCGCCTCTGCTGAAAAAGTAGGTATCATCTAAGGTATTCCATATTAAATTATGTAATGATATCCTTTTTTTGTACCCGTACATCTGATGGGATGATAAGTTTTCTGAATTCCGTAAAAGCTAACCTTTCTATGGTTAGGGAAAGTTCTGATGAAAATAATTGTAGGGAAGTGATCCAATCCAAGTTAACGTAATTTATCAAACCGGGTAAGCCGGTTGCTATCTTACGACAAAAAGTGGCACCGTGTGATCTCTTTGAGTCGGGCATGAATCCAATTCAGTTTGTTTTCATTATCTGCTTGAACTCTAGTTTTTACAATACTTTTATCATACGTTCAGCATTTCTGAATAAAAAAAATCGCATAGCATTTTATTGTAAATTTCAGTTACTAATATCTAAAACAATACTATCTTTAATACCGATAATTAGAATGCTCCTTTCTCCCATTTGTAGTCAGCCTATATAAAAAAATTCTCAAGCGGCATTTGTTTATCACATTACAATCAATTCACTGAAGGTGTCTATAAAAATCCATCAAAGTGACAGATTCCAATGTTTATTAAACACCTTTGAGATTGTCTCCCCCTGCGATTGTCTTTTTCTACTATTATATTAGCTTTCAATTGTCTGGCAAACTTTCTTGTTTCCCCACACCTCAATCTCCAATTCATAGTGGTCATTGAGTTTGCCTTTTGATTTTTCCTGTCGCTCTGTGTTGTTTTACCGTATATATGTAAAAAATCTGACCACTTCCTGTCTTTCTTACACATAACAATCGTTACCGCAAATGTAACGACTCTAGGGAATTGTTTTATGTGTCACAGTTTCCTCCTCCTCCCCTCTCATCCCTTCTTTTACAAAACATATGTCAAAAGTAGTTATATGGAATTAGTTGTATGGACAAATGGGGAGATGGTAGCTAATAGCTTAAAGTTATTTTCATATGGGTAATTCCATGTGGAAATTCATATCAGATTCAATAAAAGCTATTTGATGACATTTTTGTAATGGAAAATTGTTTTGCCTGTTCCGCAGGTTGTATTCTATGTAATGGTCCATATGTGCAATAAAATGTATTATCGCTCTTCATAAAAAGAAATATATGCGCATATATTTAAATATATTTTTAACAAAATGGCAGTCGTAATTGTTGTAGCCTTTTAGAGCCAGACGAAAATGTATGAATTATGCTGATAAAATTTGATGTACCTTGGGTTCAGAAACTCAATAAATTCTTGAATAAGTCATTGGTCCCAATGGTCTCATCATCTCCCAAAATGTATGTTATCCTTCTTTCCCTTTGAATCCCACAGTATTATTCGATTTTTCCCCACATCCGATCCATTTTTCTCGTATTATTTTTAATTTCTTTATAATGATCACAATTAGATTGACACAATAAAAAAAGACACAACCTTCCCTCCCCCTGACTGCTACAATAAACTAGAAAATTTGATGATTTAGCTATTTTATCATTAGACCACTGGCATACATCCATAATCCGAATCAAATTAAATTAATTTGTGTGATTTCATTAAATGCTTGTTTGTTAGCTATTTGCAAGAAAGGACGGAAGAGGGAGCGAGTGAGAGAGAACGGAACCAACAGAAGAGGACATGTGAAATTTGAACACATGTTATGAAAATTTCAAAAACAAACGTACTGGCATATTCGACAAAAATACAAAACATTGTTGTGTTTACTCTACAAAGAGTTCCTCTTTCATTTGTTTTTCATTCCAATCTTTAATCCAACTAGGAAATTAATTAGAACTAAATTGGACATAAGACTGATCAAATGTGTAAAATAGTATAGAAAATAGAATCTTTGCAGATATAGCAAAAAAACTCATATTTTCTTTAAATCTCTAACATAAATCATATTTGCACAATTGAGATTAGTTTTGCCATAGATCTACAGAAGGAATGATACTCTAAATACCTTATAGCTGTTTGTGACACATATGAGTTCTGCTTCTATGGCATCTAAAATGTAAGGCGTCATTTGTGTTCAACGCCATCTATGAAACATACGAAGGTGTACGCCAGGGAACAAAAATTCCGTCACTACATGAAAAATCTGTTCGGAGGAAATATATGATCGGGTATGATGGCTAATGTCGAACCTTTATACGTTGGAGTTTACTTTGCAGATGTAATTTCGCAATAACTTCGATATAAAAAGAGGCATTGCCCAATATGCCTGATAACATATCCACCATGCGAAATGCTTCGCATAATGGTGGATTTTATATATCAACAGAAAAAATCGAAAAAATTCAATTTTTTGGTGACTATATAGACATTACGCTTGCATAACTGATGATATCACCGCATATGTCCATTATCATGTAAGTTGTAGTGTACGTTTTTGGTCTTTGAAGCATCTTAAAAGTCCATCGTCAGAACGATCTAGGAAATCGTAGCTGCAGAGTGCTGACATTAATCTCACCATTCTGCTTACGGGCTAAAATGTATCCGAGTTTAAGAACCACGTGGAATGAATAATCTCAATCCAATATTTTGTGACAGGCGAGGACACAAACTCAGAATTCCGGAGGAGTGAAGAGGCCGATAAGATGGTAGAGAGGTTGATAAGATAATCCTAACCTTCCCTACAGTTCCTCGGAAGCGGCGAATAGGATTAGGTCTCCGAAAGAGCAGACGAGTGCCAAGCCCGCAAAAATATAAATAAGTTCCTTCGGCTGATATAAAGAGAAAGCTGTGGCAACCAACGTTATAGTAGATGGTCTCGAGAATGGACTGAAGGCGGCGAAGCTGACTCTAATATCAAGAAGACAAGCTCTGAATCGGATTCTTCATTAATGACCGGGAATCCCAAAACGAATAACCAGACTTTCCGAGTAAGGATGAGGGTATCAATAATTGGCAATCTTCCCGGGAGGCGCTACAGAGACGAGTTATGCTATGTAGTGATCGACGAGAGAAGTTCATCCGAAAAAAAATAGATCCATAAGGATATGATGGATGCGGTCGAGCACATCGATCTGAATAGCTGCAAATTCAAAGGGGACTATCTAATGCCATAATTTGAGTCATCAATTATCATAGAAACCATTAGGAAAATATCGTCTCCATAAATGATACCACTAAATTTAAGCAGGTGAGGAAAAGAGACATTATTCAACTATAAAAGACAACGATCTTCGTTAGAGTTTGGGACACGATTTCACGAAAGAATGCATGCTCCAAATATTTGGCCTGCAGAACAGGACACTTCTGGTAAAGAAATTAAAAGTATTCCACAGCGAGGAGAACGAAAAAAGGACTCTCTTTTTGTGGTTGGCTTGGAGAAGACTAAGGATAAGGCGCATTGTGTTGAACGCCGTCTACCTCAAAATTGTTACGATATCATAACAACAGGGAAAAAGTCCCCTATTGGAGGCGTTTACGGCTTATGTCTTCGAAGACGAGATAATTCCAACGAAACTTCTTCATGTAACAAGCTCTATGAAGCAAATTGTCGCATGTTTTTCTTGAGCATATAGCGGTCAATTTTGAGTGGCACACCACAATTTGATTGCCTGATTAGCTGTCATAGGTAATAGGACTAACATATATCGTTGTCTATAAAAAAATATTTCTTAATTTTTCTGCAGTGGTTAGGGTCCTTGATTAGTTATTATTGTCATTTTCCTCTGGCTGGCACTATTTCCAGTCATTCCTAGTTTCGTTATTCATTGTATTTTTATCGGTTTGATGTAGCATATCCCAGATGATGGGGCTGCCACCTAACCTTGCCTAGAGACAACTGCTACTTAAATATTCTACAGTGGTTAGGGTCCTTGCTTAGTGAGTTATTTTTCACTTAGCTGTTTTTCACTCAGCTGTTTTCCAGCTTGGTCAGCTATCCAGTGGTTGGAGTCATTGGCTATTTAGTCATATCATGGACTGATGGATCTATCGTTGCCTAGAGTCAACACAAATTTGAATATTGTGCGGTGGTTGAGATCTTTGCTTATTTAATGTTGCAATTTTCCTCTTGCTGGCGTTATTCCTTGTCATTCCTATTTGATATTGTCATCATATGTTTATGTTGAGCCGAGGTTGGGTATTAGAATGGCAGGAAGCTTCGGACGATTTTTAGCTAGAGTAGGATGTAAGTCTATTTTTACAAATATCCGAAAATTATTCTCCTCCGCTGGGATTTGAAACCGGGACACATCGGTTTGTAGTCTATTTCCTGTACTACGCCAGAAGACCATCCATCCTGGATTTTTATTTAAATCAAAGTGATTTTTTTTAAAAGGTGTTATAGGGTATCAAATGGTCGACTCCGCAATCATTACAATAATATTTTTATTTTTTCTTCAATGTATTACCTTGTTCCACTTATGTTGTAATTTATAGGTATTCAATGTAACATTCAAAATGAAAAAAATAAATATTCTCAAAAGAGTCCTCATTAAATTTGCTTTAGTATATTCCGAATGCGAAAAAATACGCTCAAAAAAAGATTAGTTCTTGTTGGGTTTTCTTTTATGTTGTTGTT